TTATCTGTTTGATTTTATTATATGTAAAGTAAGCTTCACAAAAAATGTACCCTCACCCCCCCCTTTCACACAAACCCCACCAATAAAGATGAGTCAAAATAAATAAATAAACATAATGATACTAATATGCAAGAAGCGATTCTTGGAATATAAACAACTAGGCAGCAGGCAACAGGATTTCTGCGACCCCCTCTACACTGCCATATAATCCAGATTATCAAAGCAGATAATCCACATTAGCTGCCTTGAACTGGATTATATGAGTCTACACTGCCATAAAGATATGAAAGGTGCCCATAAGGGCATAACAGCAGTCTCTTAGATGGTTTCCCTTTCAATTTCTTATTATAGCAGTGGTTCTCATCCTGTGGTTCCCCAAATGTTTTGGCCTTCAATTTCCAGAAATCCTAATAGCTGGTAAACTGGCTGGGATTTCTGGGAGTTGTAGGCCAAAACACCTGGGGATCCACAGGTTGTGATCCACTGTATTATAACAACTGGAAACAAAATAGCATTACAACTCATGAATATCCTTACGTTGCAGTACCACCGATGAATTAAGCTTTTGCTTGTTATTCAAGCTGTTAAACTTTGCATAAATGCCATCTTTTTACCTTTGGATCCCTTGCCTCTCTGGTGTTTTCCACCCCAAAATGCAAGCCACAGCCAGACAGTGCTGCTAAGTGTCCGATATAGTTCACCATCTCTCTCAATGTCTCCTTTATTTTCTTCTGTGCCTCTGCTACCATTAATGGCAAATCTGAACTGCTGCCCTGAAACAAAAATAAATGACTAAAGTGTTAGAGAACATTTGAATGGCTTTTTATCATAGACTAGTTATCCCCTGCCATGCGTTGCTGTGGCCCAGTCTGTGTATATGTGTTTTGTGTGTGTATATGAGTGTATATATATTTGTGTATATGTGTGTACATATGTGGTTTCGCGCATGCATTGTAATGTGTTTCTTATTTTTTGGCTTTTAAAGTCTCTTCTGCTGTGTTTTTCAGTGTTTTTTATGAATGATGGTCACTCGTTGACCTGATACGTGTATTGTGTCCAAATCTGGTGTCAATTTGCCCAGTGATTTTTGAGTTATGTTAATCCCAAAAACGAACATTACATTTTTATTCATATAGATTACAGTTCGGATTATGTAAGTAGGATGAACTGGATTACTAAGGGCCCTTCTACACTGCCATATAATCCAGAATATGAGGCAGTCAATCCACATTATATGCTTTGAACTGGATTATTTGAATCTACCCTGCCTTATAATCCAGATCAAAGTAGATAATCTGGATTTTATCTGGTAGTGTAAAAGGGACCTCAGTTACTCTGACAATCACAATATAGTGATACCATAAGAGTTTAGTTCATTCCATAACTGAGCTCTTAACTCAAATCATTCTCATGTCAAATTTTCTAGCTGAAATGCATTGAAATGCTATTAATCCGTTCTGCACCCCCCCCCCCATTTTTGTTATGTGTTGTAAAATAAGAAAATATACTTTATAAATAACAAATAATGTAGAAATACACATTTACATGGAACAATAAAAAGGAAGATCAACTAGAAACACAAAGTTGTGGCACAATAGAAGAAGCACAAAGAGAAGAGGCAGAAGCATCATTTTCCAGCCTTCCTACCTCTCTTGCTCTCTGTCCTTTTCCCTTCACAGTGGTTGATGATGGAAGGGTTAATGTAAATATTAGTTCTAAAGGGTTTAGTAATCTGTAAGTAAGCATTTATGGGTGAAAGAAATTAAGGGTGGAGGTATGCAAGAGATGGGTTGCAGCTGGGTGTTCCTGGATATAAGGAGCTAACCTTGCTGATTTTCGGGAGAAAAGTATTTGTCTTATTTTGGTGGTAGGTGCTGCTGGTTTCCCCCCAGGTTTGTTGGATTTTCAGTATCCTGACCTGTCTCCTGTAATCTTGGAACCCTGGAATGTCTGGACTGGCTTTTAACTATGGTATAGACTCTTGATCCCTGGACTTTGCTTATTGAACTCTCAGTGTTTGTCCACTGGACTGGACCCTTTACTTCGGTGTAGCATTTGCTATCAGTTTTTGTTTATTCTGTGGCTGAGTGCTATCTTTATGTTTTATGTTTTGGACTATTGAAACAGTCAGAAAGTAAATGTTGTTTTAATTAAATTGTTTAAAACAAACTGGGTTTTTGTTTGGTTCATCTCTGCTGGAAATAACGGCAGAGCCCTGGCAACGTGACACATACCAGGAATAAAAACCACACAAAATTAACTATAAGCAAGGCTTTCAGATTAAAGAAGTATTTTGGGATAAATTTTTAAAAACAGACATGAAATGTATATCTAAATTATATGAAAAACTATTAGAATGGTCAACGGAGACCGAACTAATTAAAGGATGTATGGTTAAATGGGCTGAAAATCTTAAAAGACCAATTGCGATGGTGGACTGGGAAATAATATGGAAGAAAAAACTAAAGTATACTTACGCGATGGATCTAAAGGAAAATTGGTTAAAGATGTTCCATAGGTGGTACATAACTCCAGTAAAATTAAATTGCATGTATAAGAATGTATCAAAAAATTGTTGGAAATGTAAAGAACATGAAGGGACCTTCTTCCACCTATGGTGGAGTTGTAAAGAATCTCAAAAATATTGGAGAGTTATACATGATGAAACTCAAAAAATTTTTAAAAAGAATTTTCCAAGAAAAGCAGAATATTATCTACTGGGAATAGTTGATGAGGATATCAAACTGGACTCTAACGAGGATATTTTATTTGTATATCTAACAACAGCCGCAAGAATGGTTTTCGCCAAGATGTGGAAACAGGAAGACACCCCAGGAAAATTCCAATGGCTAAACAAAATAAAGGAAATAAAAGAAATGGACACATTGACTTTTCTTTTGAAAAAGAACACAGGAAAAGCAATAAAGGAGACGAACTGGTCAATGGTCGAAGAATATTTGGACAAACTAGTATAAAAGAACATGAGGTGTATCGGAGGATGGGAAGGGGAACTCCACTCTTTTTTTTCTTTTTATGAGTGGGGCTCCCGCAACCTACTTTTTTTTTAAATATACACATAAATTTGATCAAAAACTGATATCTGAGCAGAATCAGAAGGAAGTCCTATTTATATATATATATATATATATATATATATATATATATATATTTGGATTTTTCTTTTTGGACTTTTTTGGACTCTACCCTTTTTTTGGGATATAATTTGGTCTCCACTTTTTTTTTTTTTCCCCTATTCCTTTTTTTATTTCTTAATTCTGTACCTTCCTACTTTTCTATCTTCTTTTATTATTCCCCCACTTTCGATGTACTATATAAAACTTAATAAAGATTTAAAATAAAAAAAAATTAACTATTATTATTATTATTATTTATTAACTTTATTTGTACCCTGCTAGCATCTCCCGAAGGACTCGATGCGGCTTACAATAGGCCAAGGCCTCAAAAAACAACACAACAATACAACACCTAAAGCAAATTAAAAACAGTTAAAGCAATATTAACAACAAGCAATAAACAAGACACTATAAAACTGGGTCGGGCCAGAGTAATGCGTACAAGATTAAAAGTGCTGATGTGACAGGAGATATGTAGGATTATAGGGTAAGTGCAGTGTGCAGTGTGCAGCAATCTTAGTTCTACTAAAGTGCTTCTGGGACTTGGTATTGGAGATTCCTATTCTGGGAAGGCACATCGGAACAGCCAGGTCTTCAAGTTCTTTCTAAAGACTGCCAATGTAGGGGCCTGTCTAAGATCTTTTGGGAGGGTGTTCCATAGTCAGAGGGCCACCACAGAAAAGGCCCTGTCTCGTGTCCCCACCAAGCACGCCTGCGACGCAGGTGGAATCACGAGCAGGGCCTCTCCAGATGAACGAAGTGAACGTGTGGGTTCATAGACGAAGATGCAGTCACGCAGGTAGGATGGTCTCAAACCGTTTAGGGCTTTGTAGGTAAGCACCTGCACCTTAAATTGGGCTCGGAAAATAAACGGCAGCCAGTGGAGCTCCTTGAACAGGAGGGTTGACCTCTCTCTGTAAGGAGCCCCAGTTAACATCCTGGCTGCTGCCCGTTGGACCAGTTGGAGTTTCCAAGCCGTTTTCAAGGGCAGCCCCACATAGAGCGCATTACAGTAATCCAATCTAGAGGTGACCAAGGCATGGACCACCCCGGCCAGATCAGCCTTCGCGAGGTACGGTCGCAGCTGGCGCACGAGTCTCAATTGTGCAAAAGCCCTCCCGGACACCACCGACGCCTGAGCCTCAAGCGTGAGCGATGAATCCAAGAGGACTCCCAGACTGTGCTAGTGTGTCCTCTGGCACTAGCTTTTAACTCAAAATGCTGCTCATATGTCAAAGTGAAACTCAGACCAAGCAATGGCTCATAACTCAAAACGCTCACGTAAATAAGGTTTAGTCAACACCTTTTTTGTCATCCCTAAAGAGTGTTTGCAATTTACCTGGAAAAGCAACTGCAGGTATCCTCCCAAATGTTTCACATCTTCTCTCATTTCTTCATAAATATTTACAAATTCCTCATTTTTTCTGAAACAGTTTCCCCAGTGCTTGGTTAGAAGTATAATCTGTTTGAAAGCTGACACAATGATGATGATGCAGGACTGAGCAGCTTGATCAGTCACAAAAACTAAAACAGAAAGGGAGGAAAAATTAGAAGGCCAATCACTTTGGGAAAGGAGTATATGCTTCCAGCTAATCACAAATGAACTGCGTAAGAATCAAAACATGGATTTGGGAAGAAAGTTGATCTTACAGTTGTCTTGACTGTCTTCATCTTGCTCATAAGCCTTTGTCAGAGCAATGACTCCAGTATGAATTGTGAACAGTGTCTCCAAAAGGCTCTGCGCCATGCTCTCCTCTTCTTCACCGGTATGTTCAAATACATCCAAAGCCAAAACAATCAGTTCCTTACAAATGTTAGGAAGGAATGATTCAGGTGCATCAGAGCTCAGGCTGGTCAGTTTATTTGTTGAGCCTGTGGTACCAAAACAATTTTAGGAATAAAACATATGAGCAAGAAAAATGAATAGGTAAATATTCTGGTGATCCCTTACATAATCATTTCAGTCTTTACATATCCATCATTATAAGATGTGGAAATCTTATATGTGTGTGTGTGTATGTGTGTGTGTGTGTATAATCTTTAATTAAATGCATATCTACTTTTACATACATGAAATTAGGGTTGAATAGGGTAAGTCATAGGTAAGTGGGTCAGGTTGGGAGATTGGTGCATGTCTATGGGAAAGGGAGTGGACCGATAGGTAAGGTCATAGGAAAGAAAAGGGGAATAAGGAGTTGTGGGCGGGAGGGTTGGTGAAAGGGTTGTTGTTGACTTCCAAATCTCCTTCTCTGTTGCTTCTAGTAAAATATGTTCATGTCCATAATGCCCTCTCTTTTTTTTTTTTTTAATAAATTTTTATTAGTTTATCACAATTATTACATACTATTGCATTTTCTACATCAA